GGGGGGGGTGGAATGCGGGTAGGGGTAGGAGGCGAGTTCGGTCCTCGTTCGTGGCTGGCATGGAGTGTGGACGATGGTAGAGTGGGGTGGAGTCATTTGTCAGGGTATAATTTCGGCTTGTGGGGTCCCTCCATGTCCACAATCCACGACGGGGAGGCGAGACGAAGGGCGGTGGCGCAACGGATGCACGGCCGCGTTGCCCGCGACCCTTCGCCTTTCGTCTCGCCCGCCTCGATGACCCTGCGTTTTTCTTGTCTTTTGGTGGAGCTTGGAAATGACCCTCGGCTGGCCTTCGCGCTACGTGTGTGCTGCCAGCCACCCCGCGTGACACGTGTTTATAAGGACGCGGGCGTTCTGCGCAAATGCACGACAGCACTCTCTCTCTCTCTACCTCAAGCAGTCCCCGCCGCCCACCGCGCTTGTTCTGCTTTTGGTCGCAGGCGTCTGCGCCACTCGAGACGCGTTCGTAGCCTGCATCCGCGCCATCTTCGCCATTGTCGCCCTCGAGCCTTTTTGTTCAACATCGTCGCCGCGTCAGTCGCCAACGTACTTATCTTCACTGCTTGCGTCTTCTTTGCAGTCGTCTTCGGCGACATTCTCCTCGGCGAGCAAGTCTTTTCGCCCGTCGTCTTCACCGCCACTGTCGCCTTTCCGTAGATCCTCGCCCTCGTCGTCCAGCTTGTCATCGTCACCGCGGGTGCGTCTTGCGCCATGTCCTCACGCGCTTCCGCACGAGGCAAGGCCGTCGCCAACCTCTCACAACAACCGCCGACCTGGGAGAAGAAGGGCCGCCACATGGCCAGCAAGAAGAGGAAGATCCTCGAAGGCACCTCGGCACATGGAGGTTACGTGCTGGATGAAGAGTGGGTGCCGGAGAACGTGGCGACGCAGGAGGGGACGGATTTCGAAGACTCTGACGACATGCCGTTGAAGCGGAAGTCGTCCAGGCGGGGGAGTGGCGCCATCCGCATAGACGACGCTGGCGAAAGATGACGGGCAGGAGGGAGGCCAGCACTGGAAGATGTCGTCGACGTTGACGCCGCGATGGCAGCCAGAGAGGGCGGGGGAAATTGCACGCCACTGCCACGTATGACTCCACCAACCGACGCGCAAGAGGGCGTGGTTCGCTTACGGACACCGCTGACACCACGCTCGAGGACGGCTGCGGACGTCGCCTTGTCGGGCGGGCCATCAC